TTGAAGGCTGGTTATGCATTTACGAACAGAACCCGTCTTGTGCGCGGTCGGCGAAAATGCTCCCCCCGTCTTCCATAAACCAACGATTTAATTTTTAGGGGACCTTAAATGCAGTGCAAACATAATTATTTAATGCACCCCCATCACATCTTTTCCTTATGTTTATATTTTAATACTGTATTTCTCCTCTCTAATACGGACTAAAATATACTTATTACGGAGTACTATTCTTTTATAAAAAAAATTATCTAAATTTTTTAAAATATATAAGTCTTATTTTTTATCATTTATATATCAATTTGGCAATAATTGATAAAAATGTACGATGAATGATGAGGTAGTGTGCGAAAAAAGTACAAAATACTTAGCATTACTCGACATTTTGGGCCTGTTTAGAATAGCGTTAGATATTAGCGTTGGCGTTTTGAAAAGGCTATCTACGGGTAGCGTTTAGCGTTTTCAAAGTAAACTGCACCGCTAAAATTTTATGCAAAACGCTAACGTTAATCTCTAACGTTATTCCCAAACATGTCATCTATATAATTTGTTTTTTATTGATGCATTTAATAGTTTTTAATACAGTATGTACTTTTATAATCTCAACATCTCACTTCCATTTTCCAAAACCTTTTTTACATTCACTGATTCACCTTAAAAAAGTAATAGTCAAATGCAGAAGTTTATTGAGGACCAAAGAGAGTATTAAAAAAATATTCAAAACACCAATGTTAATTGAAAATATTGTTCCCAAACAAGAGACCTAAATTAAAATTACTTTCGGTAAATACTACCTCAATTCCAAAATATTTGTCGAACTTGACTATTTTTGGTTAAGTGAGAAAACTTTAATCATCCACTAAATGAAAGTAATTATATTTCATATTAATACAAATATGATTTATTTGCTTTATGTTGGAAAGAACTGCTAAAATATCATTCTGAAAAAAAAATAGGAATAAATTATAACAAGTAGAACAAAATAAGACTTTAGTGTTTTATCCTCAAAATAATACTCATCAACATATAATACCCAAAGACACTGTGTCAACTTACTCTATATCTTGGAGATAAGGGCTATATTTTGTTCCTATTTTGGACATTTTCTCATTATTATTTTATAATTTAATATGGATTACAATTTCTATTTAATTAATGGTGATACTCCCTCCGTCCACGATTAAACTTTCCCGGTGCGCGTTACGATATTTGACTGAAGTTATTTTCAAATCATTTTATATGAAAATGGTGTAAAATTTAAAAATAAAAATTACTACGGTATGTATTAAAAAACTATATCACAAGATTTACAAAATTAGAAGTGACGTGACTATATTAATTATTTTATCAAATGGGTGACGAAAATAGGCGAACAAAGTGAATAAAGTTTGAATAGTGAACGAGAAGTTTATTTGGGGACGGATGGAGTATTTATTTAACAAGAGTAAAAAAATGGAGAACAAAAAATGGTGAGGAAAGAATAAGGAATAAAGAACTTACGGGAGCAGAGGCTGGGAGAGATGGAATCGATCTTGCAAACCGAGGGGAGATTGAGGGCCTTGTGAAGCTCAATGGCGATTCCAATGGTGCTATTGGGGTCGGCGAGAAGCCTGCAGAGGCACTCCGGGTGGCTGTTCACCAGCCCCGACAGCTCAGGGCAGCACGCTTTCTCCGGCTTCGTCAGGTTGCTCCCCGCCTCCACGTACGTCAGGCAGTCCGACATGTCCAGCAGGTGGGTCATGCAGTCCTCCGCCGTCGCTGGAGCCGGAGAGGCGGCCGGAGACTGGGCCTCGGTCGCCGCCGCCAGAAGGAGGAGGAGGAGGATGGTAGTCTTGGTCGCCGTCGTCATTTTATTATTGCGATGTGGTTGGATGATGGATGGGCTTTCTTTTAATTTCTGTGGCTGGCAATGTGAGGGGAATTGAAGTAGCGAATGCGGGGGCGGAGGCTTTCTTTTAATACTGTTAAAAAAAGTTGCTTCCAATGGCAGCTCAACATTTAATTTAATTTAAAGCTCCCACCACCACCCACATATATCTCCGTCTTCAGTTGAGTTTCCTTCCTTGATTCGGGTTCCTCCAGCTGTCTCTTCATTGGGCTCGTCTAGGCCCAAGTTCTTGGTCCGGCCCAGAACCGCTGCATGCCCGATCCAGTGTTTGGGTCGCCCGTTGGGTATTGGCCCATCAACTCTGCATCATATATCTTTACACTCCGTCAAACTCTTTCAAGCTCGTAATAACACATGGCCTAATTGTGATTCTTGCAACAAAAAAACCCATCATTTTTAATTTTTAACAAAAAGGTATTCCACCATTAGGCTCTTCATCACTTCTCCACCATCCCTACTTTTAATCCAACGTTACATAAGTTTTTCCTTATTTCATTCCCATTTAAGAGCGTGATCCCCATTCCACCCTCATTTTTTTAATTTTAATTTTTACATATTATTTTGAGTAAATTTCATAAAAGGTCCCCAGTTATAGGCCGTTTTACATATTTAGTCCCTACATATCAAATATTACTAATTTAGTCCCCAATTATTATATCATTTTTCACAAATGGTCCTTTGTTAACGTTTTTGTTAAGAACATGGATAAAATTGTATATTCATACTTCTTTCTCTTCTCAATTAAGCTTCCTCCCTCCTCTCGTACTCTTTCCCGAACTCGTCGCTGAGTTTGAAGCTCTAAACCCAAAACTGAAATGATTATTCCTCTCTCGATTATTAGTCTTCCTGGTGGAAACTAAAATCAAAACCAATAAACTTTATAGATGAGTTTTATCGGTTAGTCTCAAAAAATTGCAAAGAAATTAAACATTATAATTCATCCATGAAGGTTATTGTCTTCGAATTTGGGTTCCACCAGTTAGACAAACAATTGAGAAAAGAGTGATGATTTCTGTTTTGGGTTCAAAGCTTCAAACTAAGCGAAGGGTTTGTGAAAGGAGTGCGAAAGGATGGAGGAAACTTAATTGAGAAGAGACAGGAGTGTGAATTTACAATTTTATCTACGTTCTTAATAAGAAATGTTAACAAAGGACCATTTGTGGAAATGAATATAATAATTGGGGACTAAATTAGTAATATTTGATATATATGGACTAAATATATAAAACGACATATAAATGTGGACCTTTTATGTAATTTACTCTATTATTTTTATAACATTTTATATAAATTTTTTAATTTAACTAAAACAAGATTTGAAATTAAAAAATACTCGTAAAAAAAGAAATCAGAAGAAGAAAGGAACAAAATAAAAACTAAAATTAAAAACCAAAAAAACCAAAAATAAGAATAAAAAACTGAAATTAGAAACCAAAGTAAAAACTACTCGCTCGTCCTAAAACGTTCTTCCTAGTCACTATTGACATAGTTAAACTTTAATCACTTTTATACTTATTTTTGTTAGTTATTTGATAAAATAATAATAATATAGTCTTGTCAACTCTTGTTTTGTAGAACTCCTGATGTAGTTTTTAGATATATAAATTTTATTTTTAAATTTTAACCTACAATCAAATAAGTTGAATTGAAAATAAAATCGGTCAAACCTCGTAACAAAACGGGAAAAACGTTTTAGGACGGAAGAAGTAAAATGTAAACCTACAATTAAAAGAACAAGAAGAAAGGAATGAATGAGAAGAAGATGAAAGAAACCACGGAGAAGAAGAAAAGAAGGAGAAGAAAAGAGAAGAAGGAGAAAAAACGAAAAAATTCAAATCGGAGTGTTCGGCATAGCCGTTCTTATTACGTCGATCAGCAGGGGTGGTGGCGATGATCGAGACCGAATGCCACATCGGCTAGACCGGCGCCACACCCGGTCTTATTACTTATGTAACAAATTGGTACATCTTGTTGAAATTCTCATAATTCGACCGATGAGTGCACATGTGACACTCAATTTGGCTTCTGAGCGTACATGTGGCATTAACAAAAAGAGATGTTTTATTTATCTCATTCCTTTTTGGTGAGAATTGGGTATTTATAATGGTAAGTGTACATGTATCATTTCCTTAATGCATTGATATTATAAAAGAATTGAAAATCCTTTAATATAATAAAGGAGACTCGGATGCACAGAAATTTGACATTTGGCATGGCTATGTGGCAAAATTTAAACATGTCAGCACGCCACGTAATATCCGAGTAAACCCGCGGAAATAAATTATATACGATGCACCAGCGGATCTCCCATTGAAAACAATTGACCCCAAATTTTCTACGCGATAATCACTGGCCTTCAACGAAATTCTTTCCTTCAGATTACAACAATACGAACTCCTATTATGATGATAATATAAAATAATTAAAAATGAATATAAAAAATATAAATACTATTTAAAAAATAAATATAATATTTTCATTTAATTTAAATAGAATTTTAGGACCATGCTACATATACTAATCGTTTATCTTACTTCCATATTTAAATATTACATACTTAAATTAATAAGTTACAAAGGTTTATTGTGGAAATTTGTGTATAATAACAATTAGAATCAATAGAGTACCTATATTAATGGAAAATAGAATATTATTTTTTACAAAAAAGATTATTAAGAAACAATCCTAAATAATACTAAATTTGAAAATGATGATCCCGAGTACATTACTCATCACCTTACTTATATTATGTATTTTAGATAATACTAATATTATTTTTGATCCGTTTACTTATATATGGAAATCCTTAATTGTGTGTCTTGGATAATCAATAATATTATATGTTTTCAGATTACAATAATACGAATTCCTATTACGAGGATAATAAAAACAATCAAAAATAAATACGAAAAAATATAAATACTATTCAAAAATAAAAAAGAAATATAATAATTTTCATTTAACTTATATAGAATTTTAGAACCATGCTAAATATATTAATCCTCTATCTTACCTACATATTTATAAATTTCATACTTAAATAATTAATAAGTAACAAAGATTTATTAATGGAAATTCGTGTATATATAGGTTGAAATCAAAAGAGTACCTATGCTAATAGAAATTCCAATACTATTTTTTATTCCTTACTTATTTGTCTTACTTCCATGAGTATATATTATTGATCGCCTTACTTATATATGGTCATTAACAAAATTTACGGAAAATCTTATTAAGAAACAATCATAAATAATACTTCCTCCGTCCAGCTAAGATGTTCTCATTTTGACTTTTTGTTGTTTTTAAGGAGGGTTGAAAAAAAGTGAAAGTTTATCATAATACCCTTAATGAAAATGGGTGGAGTATATTAAATGAGGTGGGTGAAGAGTAATAAATAAAGTAAGTGGGGGTAATTGTGGTATTTTAATTGTTAAAAAATGAAATAAGAAGATCTATTGTGGACAAAGAAAAAAGGCTATTGGGAAGATCTATGAGGGACGGAGGGAGTACTAAATTTGTAAATTATTATCACGAGTATATTATTCATCACCTTACTTATATCATATATCTTGGATAATACTAATATTATTTTCGATCTCTTTACTTATATATGGCAATCCTTAATTATGTATCTTGGATAATCAATAATATTATATGTAAATATATGTATTCAGATTACAACAATACAAACTCTAATTATGATGATAATATAAAATATTAAAAATAAATATGAAGAAATATATATATATATATATATATATATATATATATATATATATATATATATATATATATTGGTTCATATGAGAATGCGATCTTATGAAAGAAATAAGAATGAATCCGGTGTCTTAGATGGTGAGATCTAAGGGTCAGGATTGCATCAAAATTAGGTGCACCAAAATGGTTTGAAAATGCATCTTGTCGAAATGCACCAAAATCCCTTGAAAATGCACTATCTCAAAATCTGAGTGCAGGATGCAATCTGAGCCGCACGATGCATCAGATCCAAAGGCTAGATTTTATTCTTATTTCTTTCACGAAGGTATGCTCTCACCTGAACCGGCCCATATATATATATATATATATATATATATATATATATATATATATATATA